TGGGGACCAAGGAAGGGGGGTGGCGGGGCAGCCCTATAGGAAAACGGACAGGACAGCCTGGTGATGGCTTGTTATTGCGGATATTGTAAGCTTGCAGAGGGTAAGTAGCCACAGAACATTTAGCATATATAGTATTTTGAATAATGTCTAGCAGCGGTTCACGGGTTAGTTTAATTTCCTTTTTCCTTTTTCCTTTTTCCTTTTTTCTTTTCAAAGAAACGACATGGATTGAAGGTGTTAGCATGGTGCCTGTTCTGAAAGTGTGTGTCCTAAAATTTTTATACAGCGGGTTAATGGCCAGTCTGCAAGAAGGCTGTGAAACAGAGATCATCCAAACACTGTGTACTATCCTAACCAGATCTGAGGGGCTTTGGACCCTTATTAACATAGCCATCAGATTGGACAAAATACATTTTGCACAGGAAGCCATTGATCACCTTGATGATTTTACAGAATGTACTGAGGACTATGATTCACAGCCAGTAATGGACAAAATTAAAAATAATCTCTCCAGTAAACTAGGCACATTAAGTTTTACACGAGACAGCCTAGGCGACCTTTGGTCTTTTATAAAATGTATTGAGAGGTCCTTTGACCCGTGGGGCGTCATGGCAAGAATCGAGACTGAATTACCTGAATCTCTGAAAAAAATAATAAGATGGAAACGTGGTGGGGTTTAATTACAATAAACTGTTTAATAATAATAATAAAAAATTTCCTACATCTTGTGTTTGGCGATCAAACACAAGATCAAAAAATCTCCTAGGGCAGGGGTGGAGTTAGGGAACATGTAGAGACATGCACAGGAGCGTGGTGTGTGCGGGAGCTGAGTTGTGTTCAGACAAAGCTCTGCAGCAGTCGGTCTAGGTATATGGACTCTGTTTTTTGCACGTATTATATTTTTGAACATCTGCTACCAAAAGGGTCTGACAAGCCCCGAGAGAGAGAGGGAGAGAAAAGGTTTCTCTTTTGGAAAACATGGCTACAGAAGATTCTAAAGAGGCTTCTGCTACAGTAGGCAAACCTAGCTGCATATGGACTAACTCAAGGCCGTTGCCGGAAGAATGCACCAGCATCTGTTGCTGGGGTTTTGATAAAGAAGATTTTTTATTCAGATCCATTTTATTTGGTTGCCGTAAGACTTGTTGCTATTTTAACGGCAAAGCGCCAAGTAAAACAGGAGAAGAAGGGAGCGGCGATACTTACCGGGCAACGTGTGAAATGGTGAGCAATACAATAACACCCCACAAAGCGGCCGTAGATGGTAAGTAAATATGCTTTTATTTATGATCATGTAAATGCTGGGGCGGGGGGGGGCACGTATAGCTTTCTAATAGGTAATGTTTTATATTTTGCAGTATCTGAATTAGCACCAGCTAGGGGGCAAAGATGTCGAAGAATGCCCTTTTCAGAACTTAGCATCCGCCCGCCATCTTGCGACTTATCTGACTCAGACAACGACATGGCCTGTGAAATTTATAAAGGAGTATTCGGCGAAGGGCGCTGGAGCTGCTCGGAGGGCTCAGATCAATCAGAGGGGTACAGTACTTTACATACTGAAGATGATGAAGGGTATTTTTCCAATGACATAGATAAGCTATACTGAATTGAGTTATCAATAAAAAGTTGTAATAAAGACAAAGCGTTATCATTCTGTCCTAGGACCAGGCATCATGAAGTATGAAAATGTTCTAAGGGACATTTATTACACACCGGGGAGGCTAGGTAGTTATGCAGGGGTAAATTAGCTTTTTCAGGAGGGGAGAAAACATGATAAAAACCTGTCCATGAAACAGGTCAAGACATGGCTCTCAGGGCAAGAAGCTTATACGCTTCATAAACCGGCAAGAATTAATTTTCGTAGAAATAAAACAGTGGTGTCTGGCATAGATCAACAATGGCAGGCGGATCTCATAGATGTCTCCAAATTTTATAAGGAAAATGATGGAAAAAAAGTTTGTTTTAACAGTTATAGATGTATTGTCTATGTAAGGGTTGCCCCGTTCGACAGAGAAACTCCCATGACACGTGTGGTTCACAAAAGAGGTTTACTCATGAGTAACGTAGCGGTTACAAGCAAAGCCAGGACTGGCTTGGTATATTTACATTACTCCTTTATAGTTGCTAGGTTACATGTTACAAATTAGATTGCAGATTGCCCCCTGTAATCCCCCCCTTCTACTGGAATGGCAGGTTCAGCCCAGTTCTCTTGTTTCTTTGATTGTTGTTGCCTATGGCATGGTTGTTGCCTTCGTTGGGGCTTCTGTCGCACGCCCAGCCGGGAGCATCCCCTCGCGCGTTGATCTCTCCCACAATTCGCTGATCCCTCCTTTGTCTATAGCGCCCGCGGCCCTCTGGCGTTAACACAAGGCATCCGCTCCAGATTAGTGAAGTGGCACCAGGTGGCCCATTCATTAGCTTGCGGTTTCGCACTTCCTCTTTCCGCGCTAACACTCAAGCGGTGAAATTGACTAAAGCGCGGCTGGGCAAGTTCCTAGGCGTGCGGCGCCGGCTGAACCTGACAGTCTAAACATGCCTGGGCATGTCCGTTGGCTGATAAGCCGGGGAGTGAGGTTGCAGTGGCCTTCCAGAGAATCTTAGAAACAGGACACACACCCTGAAAAATACAGACAGATGCCGGTAAAGAGTTCTTAAATAGGCCTCTGAAGAAACTTTTAGAACGTTATGGTGTTCAACATTTTGTCACCCATAGTGACACTAAAGCCACTGTTATAGAGAGGTTCAACCACACCCTAAAGAATAAACTCTGGTGGTATTTTACAGCTAGAAACACCCATCAGCACGTGGACATTTTGCCAGCCGTTCTTCAGGGTTACAACGGTACTTACCACCATAGCATATGGACTGCTCCTAATGCTGTAAACTTGTCTAATGAAAGGGATGTGTGGTTAAGACTGTATGGGGATATGTTAAAAAGTAAAAGAAAGGAAAAACATCTTAAGGTGGGGGATCACATTTGGGTATCCAGAGTGAAAGGGAAATTTGAAAAAGGCTATCAGCAAACCTATACGGATGAAATATTCATCGTCAAAGAACTGGGGACAAGGGGTGAAAGAACGGCGTATAGATTAAAAGATTACGCCGATGAGACTGTAAAGGGATCTTTTTACCCAGAGGAGCTCCAAAAGGTACCTGATGACCAACAACGTGTGTACAGAATTGAAAAAGTGATCAGAAAAAGAGGGCGGGGAAAAAATAGAGAGATTCTCA